ATCACCAAATAAGAAAAAAGAAAATACTTTCTTCTGAATTTTTAGAAAGCCTCTCTTAAATAAGTATTGAAGTTCCGTAAATAATTCTGTCTGCGGAGGATAAAAGGAGCAGATTGACCAATTACTTTCAGAGTGTTTGATCATATCCATGTTTTCATTAATTATTCAAGCTTTAGGAGTCATCAAAGAATCCTAATGCATAACTCAAAATGAGGACCAAGAGCCAAGATATTGGCAAGTGCTTTTCATGTTTCAGATTCCTTCCATTTATGAATATATGTGCTTTTAAATGTTGGGCAGATTTAAATCCTTGTGCATGGGAAGGAGGTTGACAAGTTAGCCTTTTGGACAAAAGGGAAGGACATAAATCACAGATGTTAAAAAGCCAGGTCGGCAAGTAGAGCTAGAGGTACAGGATGAAATGACACCCTTGGGGTAATGTGACCCAATCTCAGGTTATATTCCATTGTGCCCACACTCTGGGCCTGGCTGCACATTTGCTACTCCAGGCCATGCAGTGATGGACCATATAGAATAGTCCTACCTGAGTCTTTAAACAAAAACTAGCTGCAAGAACAATTTAACAATCATAAGAAGAACAAAATTAGGTGATTAGGTGACAGAAGACAGAGGAAGGCTGATACAGTAAGATCCTATATTAATGCAAAAGTAAGTTCCAAAGAAACCTTTCTACTAACTCTGAAATATATTAGCTTTATCCCAATTTTAAGTTACCAGACCATTTTATGGGCACTGTAATGTCACTAGAAGTGCATGTCTAACAAAATAATAGAGTACATTACCAATTCTGCTGTGATGGCCAATGCAGAGAAACTATTAGACCCATTTGTCAATGTATCTCAGTGTCTAACAGTTTTAAAGAATGAGTACTTGTGGAAACTATTCAACATTTTAAAGACATCATTTCTCCTCAGACACATTCCATCGAATCGTCAATTTTGAGTACATCTATTTGTCCACCCATGCTTTTCCTGTAAAGCTGATTGAAAAGAGAACAACAAAAACACATTTTGAATGCCAGGATAGAAAATACTAACGACATATGAATTGAAAGATCTATTTATTGTTTCAAACAAGATTGATATTTTGTTATATTTTGGGTATTGTGCAAGTTGGCACAGAACATTAAAGTAGAATATATACAAAATAGACCTTCAAAATACGAAAATCTGCTTTGCAATGAAATAAATTTGAGGTTGGAGATAGCAGTATTCATGCCATTATAAAAAAATTTTTTACAGTGGATACATTTAGCAGGCGTTTGCAAAGCATAGCTTTAGGAAGAGTTTATAGTATATTAATGCAAAGGGGTTGGCTTTACCCACTCTCCCTTCAGCAGTCATTCACTGATGTTGTATTACCAATCCTTTATCTTAAACACCACTACACTTCACCTTCCAACTCTTTTAGCAATTATTAAATGGGTGAGGAAATAAGAGAAAAAAACTGAAGAGGAAAGAAGAGAGTAAGATTTATTCCTAAAGAAAAAACTCCTTGTTTGCTCTGCCCTTGAAGAAGTCAGTGCCATCAATCATTAGATAGGGGGCTGGACGAGGTAATCCATAAAGTTCCTCCCAGATCTACTATGTTATGATGCTAAGCGAGAACACTAAAAGAAAGACTTACTTAAAAATAAATAAATAAATAAAAGCAAACGGCAGTGTGAAAGCAACTTTCTAAATTTTCTTCCAATATTCAAAAACAACTTTTAAAATTAAGCTTCAGCATTATAATATTTTGGATTGTATATGTTTGTATCTCAGAAATGCCGTTTAGACTTGAGACGTTGAGTAGATCTCTTCACCCTTATAAACCAAAATTTCCCACTGTGTAAAATAAGAATATTGATATTACTGTGTAGGTGGTTGAAGATTAAATGAGGTAATACAGGCAAAGGTTTAGTTTCAACAAAGTGTTCAGTAATATTAGCATTTATTATCTAGATGGGTATTCTCAGTTATTAATTTATTCAATTACTAATTCAAAAATGTGCATGTATATTTTAGGTCAAGCATTGCACTAAATGCTAGGGACCCACGAGTCACAGAACAATCTCTTCTCCTCCCTGTTAGATATCATTTAATTATTTAAGAGTGAACTGATACATGTTTGTGGAAGAGCATATATTTAGAATGTATTCACTTTTGTTTTAAAACTCTATGTGACTGAGATGAAAATGGAACAACAATCAAGTGAGTAAAACACAGCTTTCATATTTCTGCTACTAAGCACAATTCAACTCTGGTCCTTTTTTGATTGGTAGCAGAAAATTCAATCTTGCAATTTGAGGTAACTTGACTACTTCCTGTCTCAAAGTGATCCTCTTTGGGTTCAATTCAGGATATTCCACCTCTGTAATCACCCTATGGGTTTTTCTTGACTGCTGCACAGACAAACCAGTTCACTGAGACTGTAGTATTGCAATAAAGAAAGAGTTTATAATGTGACGCTAGCCACGTGGAAGAATCACTCAAATTGGTCAAAAGGCTCAGAGGTTAGAGGCTTTCAAGTAATTTTGTGGGCAGAAGACTACAGAATAGGTGCTGTTTATTGGTTGGAGAACAGTCATAGGGCTGTGAAAAATGGTCCGCTTGCTGAGTCTGCCTCTGGATGGGGCCACAGGACCGTCTGTGTCAGGGTGGGGTCAGTTGCTGGAATGCAAAAGTTTGAAAAGCATTTGGAAAGAGCAATCTTGGGTTCTACAGTGGTGATGTTAACTATAGGAGCAATTGGTGAAGTCATAAATCTTGTAACCTCTGGCTACATGACTCTTGAGCAGTAAGGGATTATAGAAACCATGCCTACATTTTAGCAGAATTCATGCCCCCCCACCAAATCTTGTAGCTTTTCATTAGTCTTACAAAGGCCATTTCAGTCCACAGACGAGGAAGTGATCAGTTTTAGGAAGAGACTGTTATCATCTTTGCTTCAAAGTTAAACTAAACTTCTCCTTCCATGTTTCGCTTGCTCCATGCCCAGGAATGAGTGAAGCCAGCAGCATGTCAGGGTAGAAGCAAAATGAGTCAGCCATGCTCGATTTCTCCCACTGTCAAAAGCTCTGCAAAGGAGGTTCACAGCTAGGGCTGCCCACTCTGCCGCTTTGTGCAGCTGTGAACTCCCATGACATCAAGCTGGAGTTAACTCTTCAGGCTTGCTGATTGGTAACTCTTAATTCCCTTTCGTTCTAAACAAACAAACAAAAACACAGGTGGGGTGGACAGTATCTTAGGCCTTTTCTTTACCCAGAACTACCTTGCTGATATTTCCACCTACTGCAGCTTAGTTAAATGAAGGCAATCAGCAAGACTATTTTCTTCTCAAGTTTCAGAGTTGACTTGGTGTGAGTCCCCAATACAAGAGTGAATAAATATTTTGGGAAGTTTCTATTACCCAGTTCCCCAGAGTTTCAACCCCAGAGTAGGTTCATGCTACACTCCTTTTGTTTTACTTTTCCTGTCTCTCCTCTGCTGTGCTGTAGAAAAACTGCTCATATGACATCACTTATCTTTTCCACCTTCACTGTGGCCTTGAACCCTTTGCTCCAAGTCCTGTAAGATTTGATTCTTGATATTTAAATCCAGGCTTTTGGAATTTTCCTTCTCTCTGGCACCTGGTACTTGCAATTCAAAACCATGGTTTTAAAGACTATTGTCTGTACTGTTGACTTACAAAGGTCAGATTAACTGCTCCAAGGCCAAAAATGTGCTTTTTTGTTCTCTCAGAATCAGCCTTGCCTTGAGGCATAGAGAAAGTCCTCTTTGCTGCTTAAATATTGTAGAAAACCATAACTAAAGTAAGTTGAAAAATTAATCACTTTATTATCAAAATACCTCACTACAGAACAAATTTACAGTGAAATAAAATGATAGCAATTTTGTATATGTATCTGTTTGCCTATCTCCATAACCTAAAATAAAAACAAAACAATAAATGTTTTAATTATTATGTAATATAACTTAAATAATGTTCTTTCATTAAAACAAGATTAATGCTAAAGTGTTTTTGCTATAATAGACTTGCACATGCTATCATTGAATTTGTTTTTCAAAATCTTTCCACACAGCCATGCTGGCTTGGTCCAATCTTAGCTATAAACATTATTGATTTATATATTGAATGCTTGTGTGCCAGGCACTAGGGATAAGTAACTGTGAAAGAATGATGGACATGTCCCTAATCTCCTACATACTGAGAATTCCTCTCTGACCAAATGAACATCATTTTTCAAGCAGTAAGCACCTCTTAAAGCTTGTCTTTCCAGGAAGTTCACAGCCAAACCTGGAATCTTCACCTGTTCTGTACAGTGGTAGGGTGAATTGTGTATTTTGTATTTCTTTCTCCATCACTAGAGAGAATACTCTGTTACGTGCCCCAAAGAGTTATTTCAGGATACACAATTTTAAGGCAGAGTTAAAAACTTAAAGGTCGACTTAAAGACAGAGTTCAAAGGCCTTTTTTTAAAAAGACAGAGATTAAAAGTCTCTTTTAAGTGAATAGTATACAGAAAAATATGTATTTTTTAAAGAAAACATACTTCCAATGTAACAGCTGCCATTTTCCCAAGATATAGTTAGTTGTGGAAGGATAGAAATGATTCTATCAGCTTAAACAGCACAAATTTTGTGTCGTCCTTTCCTCCTGCCTTCTTGCTTTAAAATAGATGCAGCATAAATACATCTCTCCTCACAGTTCTTGGCTAATAAAATTATCTCATAGTCTGACTCTAATATTACTAAACTCAGATGAATAATATATCAAAATCTGAAGAGATGAATGATGTTTTACAGCTATACAGGGGGGGCTTTCAGAGCTCCACTATGGCTGGGTTTTCGAAACAATGACATTTATTTTTGAGCTTTCATTATTTTTCTTTTCCTACATCAAAATGAATTATTTTAATAAATGAAAAACATTAAATCTACAGAAACCAGTCTACAGAAAAAGAAAATGTGCATTTAAGATCATTTAAGGTGGCTCCTACATCAACTCCTTACTTGGAAAACTGGTATTTGAATGTCAAGAACTAAGCCTTTTTCCTGTCTTCCCAGCATTGATGATTTTGAAGAAGTTTTGATTTTATTATAAGTAACATTTGTTCAGCTAAGTAAGTATATTTTCTCAGTTCCGAGTATCCTATAAAGCCTGCTCTCCAGTCCCTCCTGCTTAGGACTCCCTGTGGTTGGGTGAAACAGGGCACTTTCCCTTGCTCCAGATGAGAGACCAAAGCTGGTTTGGAAGTAGGTGGCACTTCAAAGGCCACAGCCTCATAGTTCTCCAGCATCATGTCCCTGTACAAGGCCCTCTGGTCAGGTACCATGATGGCCCATTCCTTCTTAGTGAAGTACACAGCCATGTACTCAAAAGCCACTGATTCCTGGGGCCTGGCTGTTGAGGACACAGTTGTCATCGTCTGACCTCTTTTATTCCTTTCTTGGGTAAAGGTAAAAGTCTCAGGTGCCTGGGCTCCTGATGACCTCTGCAGCTTTTCAGCAAGCAGAGATGGTGGGCGCTACTTCTCTTTATTCTTATAGTACATGATCTGATGGGAAGTAAGTATGAATTAAAAGTGATCATGAGATTAAAATAAATTAATTCTTTCAGGACACCAGTTTTATAACGTAGACGCTAAATTTTTACAAATGCAAAATGTGAAATATACATTGTCCACAATTCTCCAGACCGTTGTTTCTCAAACTTCTGCAATATATGCAGTGTCTTTAAGACAAAAACAAAAGCTAGTACAAAAATCTTTGAATCCCAGTGTTAAATCATTTTTATTATGTTGTTACTTAAAATTATGCAAACAAAACCAAGCATAAACCTGGCCAGCGTGGTAAAATCTTGACGCTACTAAAAATACAAAAATTAGCTGGGCATCGTGGTAGATAATGTGTAATCCCAACTACTAGGGAGACTGAGGCAGGAGAATCACTTGAAACTGGAGGCAAAGGTTGCAGTGAGCTGAGATTGCACCATTGTACTTCAGCCTGAGCGACAGAGCCAGACCCTGTCTAAAAAAAGCCAAGCATAGACACTCTGTCTTAAATCTCTTACAAAGCATAATTATAACACAATGTGCTATATTATGATAATTCTAGTATTTTGTGGAGCTTCTGCACAGTATCATTGTTGGCCTTTTGCTATCTCTGTTCTTTTATCATTAACACTTCTTGAGGCCAAAATGGTAGTATCTACAAACATAAACACTGGGTGCATATGGCAGTACTTGGCTAAATTATTATGGGAAATCAAAACAAATAAAAGATAATTTTCAAAAAGATCAAATTCAAGATTGTTATACAATAAAAATCTATCAAAAAATTTTTTAACTCAATTATTCACAAAGAAACCAGTAAGATGTTATCAACTGGTTTAATAAAAAATTCAAATTAATGCACATATACGGTTGTCAGGAATGTTTAAATGAATCTACAAATAGATGAAAAACTGGCTTCCCATAGGTTGCAGTGGAGAGAAAAATCAGTTGTCCCTCAACCAAAAGGAATTTACAAGTCTTTGGATAAGTATTATTTTAATTGCTGTCATCTATGTATAATTTATAGCTTTGTAAACTAGCTCAATCAGCCCTCCATAGAATCAGGTAACTTGGAATTGTATATTAGATAATGCCTGCTTTTACAATGAAGATACCCAGTGTTCTTTTGGTTCATTTAAAAGTCTGTCATAATTTGTTCATTCACTATGTTTAAGAGGAACAGATTCTATAGAACCTATCCATGGATCCTATGGAAATTCTGAAGCCCTCTGTCTCTATTGCAGACAACTATGCCTCTTGAATTGAGCTATCTCCCTTAAGAACTGACCTCTAGCCACACAGAGAAGCTCCATATGAGTACTGCTTATCTTTAAGAAATATGTCGCTCTTCTTTCAGATGTAAACACAAGCAACCTATTTTGATAAGTAGAATGACCTCTTCTGAGGGAATAACTATGACAACTAATCTCACATCTTCATATGTGAAAATTTTTGCCTAAGGACAGATAATTGCAATGATAAGCCACACCTTTAGTAAAAATGTAGAGTTTTTTTCTTTTTTGGGAGGGAGCAGAGTGGAGAGCAATCACCTATACCAGGTATTGTAGTAAGTACTTTATGTCAACAACAACAACAAAAAAGAGTCAAACTTAGTATTTAAAGAGGTTTATTTTGAGCCAAATGTGAGTGGCTAAGGCCCAACACAGTCTCAAGACGTACTGAGAACGTGTGCCCAAGGTGGTGGGATTACAACTTGAATTTTACGCATTTTAGTAGAACAGAAATTACAGGCAGACATCAACAATACATGTGAGTTATACATTGGTTCAATCCATAAAAGTGGGACAACTGGAAGCAGGGTCTTCTGGGTTATAGGTGGATTTGAAGATTTTCTGACTGGCAATTAGTTGAAAGAGTTAAGTTATTATTAAGGTAAGAGATTGTGGAGACCAAGGTTCTGTTATGTGGATGAAGTCTCATAAGTGGCTGCCCTTAGAGGCAATAGGTGACAAATGTTTCCTATTCAGATCTTTAAAAGATGCTACACTCTCAGCTAATCACTTCAGGATCAGAAAAAGACCTAGTAAGGGAAGGGGATTCTCTACAGAGTGTACATTTCCCTCACAAGAGACAGCCTTGCTGTGGCCATTTCACAGTATGTCAGAGAAATGTATTTCAGGGTAAAATAATTTCTTTCAGGGCCTATAGTCTGTCATGTGATGCTAGACTACAGTCAGGTTAGAATTCAGTATCTTATTGCTATAAAGAGTCTTGTTTTGTCATTCTTAAGATCATTGTTGTAACAATTGTTTCTTTTGCTGTACAGAAGCTCTGGAGTTTAATTAGATCCCATTTGTCTATTTTGGCTTTTGTTGCCGATGCTTTTGGTGTTTTAGTCATGAAGTCCTTGCCTACGCCTATGTCCTGAATGGTTTTGCCTAGGTTTTCTTCTAGGGTTTTTATGGTGTTATGTCTTATGTTTAAGTCTTTAATCCATCTGGAGTTAATTTTAGTGTAAGGTGTCAGGAAGGGGTCCAGTTTCTGCTTTCTGCACGTGGCTAGCCAGTTTTCCCAACACTATTTATTAAACAGGTGAACCGGCAACCAACAGAATGGGAAAAAATTCTCACCATCTACCCATCTGACAAAGGGCTAATATCCAGACTCTACAAAGAACTAAAACAGATTTACAAGAAAGAAACAAACAAACCCATTCAAAAGTGGGTGAAGGATATGAACAGACACACTTTTCAAAAGAAGACATATATGAGGCCAACAAACATATGAAAAAATGCTAATCATCACTGGTGATTAGAGAAATGCAAACCAAAACCACATTGAGATACCATCTAATGCTAGTTAGAATGGCGATCATTAAAAAATTTGTACACAACAGATGCTGGAGAGGATGTGGAGAAATAGGAACACTTGTACACTGTTGGTGGGAGTGTAAATTAGTTAAACCATTGTGGAAGACAGTGTGGCGATTTCTCAAGGACCTAGAAATAGAAATTTCATTTGACCCAGCAATCCCATTACTGGGTATATACCCAAAGGATTATAAATTGTTCTATTATAAAGACACATGCACATTATGTTCATTGTGGCACTGTTTACAATAGCAAAGACCTGGAACCAACCCAAATGCCCATTGGTGATAGACTGGACAAGGAAAATGTGGCACATATACACCATGGAATACTGTGCAGCCATAAAAACTGCTGAGTTTGTGTCCTTGTAGGGACATGGATGAATCTTGAAACCATCATTCTCAGCAAACTGACACAAGAACAGAAAATCAAATACTGCAGGTTTTCACTCATAGGCGGGTGTTGAACGACGGGAATACGTGGACACAGGAAGGGGAGCATCACACACTGGGGTCTGTTGGATGGGGGCTAGGGGAGAGATAGTGGGGGGTGGGGAAGTTGGAGAGGGATAACATGGGGAGAAATGCCAGATATAGGTGACGGGGAGATGGAGGCCATAAACCACATTGTCGTGTATGTACCTATGCAACAATCCTGCATGATCTGCACATGTACCCTAGAACCCAAAGTACGATTTTAAAAATCTTTATTTTAATGTTAATGCCAGTCTGTTGTGTCTGAATTCCAAAGGGAAGAGAGTATAGTAAGGCATGTTCAACTCCCACTTCCCGTCATGGCCTGAAGTACTTTTTCAGGTTTACTTTGGAATCCTCTTTGCCAAAAGGAAGGATCCATTCAGTTAGTTGGAGGGCTTATAGAAGTTTATTTTTGGTTTATGTGCATATATATTATTTAATTAAATATCAAAATATGCTATAAATGTGTACATTTTATGGATGAGAAAATTCTGCTTGAGCCACTCACATGATAAGTTTTGAAAAAAAGATTATTTGAATGAAAAACGGGACAAAATCAAGTGTGTAAGCATTTAATGAGGTCTTCTGTAACTAATAATCAGGATAGTACCTTTATTGGATTTTATGGAACAACTGGTTTGTGATCCCAAAATCAGTTGCTCAGACAATATTTATGGAACATGTCTTAGTCGTTCTTATTTCATCTGGGAAACTGAGTGTCCAGGCTACATATTTCATAATGCTATTCATATAGTTGTCATAGTACTTGACAAATGGCATTAAATTATCTTGTATGTGTTTATTTCTCCTTTTTCTTCAATGGCAAAAGCTATGAAGTTAATTTAGAGGAAGGGCCATATGTCCTTAGTACTTTGCATGAAATCTGCCACATCATAGGAGCTAAATATATGCTCTTGAATTAATCTAAACTATGCATATGCATTATAGATAATCCCCAAATTTGAACCTCTGGAAAAATTTTGTTCCCAAGTCACTAGTTCAAAGATTTTACTTCTGTTTTCAGAATGTTTCAGTGCCGTTAGTTACATTTTAGTGTCAATAGATGAATTAAGTTATAGTTGCTTAAAATTTGTTTTCAGGACAGAGAGATTATCATTGGATGTAAGCCCTGCAGACTGAAGGTTATGGTATCTTTGGGACTTACTGGAGAAGAAAACCATGACCATGAAAAACCATTAGAAATCATCTAGAATTCTCTACCACAGTTATGTATTCAATGGCTTGAGATTTGAGAAAGTCTTAAGTGCAAATATGTATAAGATTCTTTATATCTCATAAACTCAATATCATGTTTCCTTTAAAGTGCCATATTTATGAGAAGGCAAATATAAAAGAAGGACCAGGAAACACAGAGAACTGATACTCACGTTGGCCACAAGAAAGAATAGAAACCAAAAATATTAAAGTGAGATTGGGAGAGTAGACATTGGAGAAGTAGAAGGAAAAATTACACAAGGATGTCAGGAAAATGTTCTATTACGTTAACTCCTTTAATTACCAACCATTTGGCCGTAGAACAAAAAAATATGAGACTTAAAAATTTATATTTTGTTACAATATGTACTTTTTAATAGTATTAAATATGTGGAATGCTTACAA